TTCACATCCCCCTGTTATCAAAGCCACTATTTTTTAACCTGGCAATCGAATGGAGAATACCTCTATTCTGTTAGATGGGGGTGTGGCCACTCAGACCATCCCATTTCCATCGCTGTTTTAAGCTCAATTCTGTCCACGTGATGTGAAACCTACGCCGCTTTTATTTCAGTAACACACCTTACATCTCTTGTCAGCAATCATTTTCCACATATGTAGACTGATGATATCCAGGAAGCTGACAACCAACAATGATAGTGACTCGATGAAGAATGTCGAAAGGAAAAGGAGCTTAAGAAGACTTCAAAAGGAATTAAAGCAGCGAAAAATTTCATTCCGCAATGAATTACTGTGACAGACCTCAGACAGTTCTCCCCTGCAGATCATCAACTGAAACCATGATGAAGCAAAGGGATCATCAAATCCCAGTGAAAGCACTCGTGAGATCAAGAAGAAAAATGCCACCGGCACGTCGGATGACACATTTTTCCAGATCCTCGCACTTACAATCCAACAAAATAACTGTCACGCGGCAGCGCTCTCATCGGTGGACAGACGAAGAACTCAATCTTCTTGCCTGCGCTGGCAGCGGCAAGGAGAATGTTGAACCATCGTCGTCACGGTCCATCTCCGGTGCACTGCCAGATAACATCTCCGAGGACGGACCCTCGAAGGAAACCCATGCCAGAGTCGGCGACTCTTTTGCACACCACCTTGAGCCAGACACAAGCGGCCCCCGGAATATCCTGCTACATCGTGAGGCTAGGGAAGGGCATCTTGAATTTCTCCTGTGGGCACCCATATGGCAGTCGGAGGATGACATTGCGAAGGTCCATTCAGATCAGCTCAAGCGATACAAGGAGAGATTGGACGTCGGGCTTGCAAGCAGGGCCTCTCAGGCGAGAAAGCGAGCACGGTCCCCTTTTCAAGAGCCTAGGAGATCATCACGTCAGAAAAAGCCGCGGCAGTGCTAAATATAAGTTCGGTAGATGGAAGTCAATGAATTACTTTGTTTCATTGTTGTCTTGTCTTGTATGTTTGTCTTGCCTGTATATCCAGCTAACTTGAGGTTAGAGGATCTGGAATGTGAGGCCATGCATTTATCTGGATTGTATTGTCGAGTGATTAGAGTGGTTAGAATCTGCCCAGCCAACACTGAACGCTATGTATATGATAGTCATTTTGGATTACATTTAAGTATAAAAATTCTAGCGGAGGAGTGGTGACCCGATTCGGTCACTGGTCAGATGCTAAACCTCTTTCCGGACTGTCCCACACCAGTACATCTGCAACTGAAGCAGCCCAAATACAGCTATGGAGATATTCAAGTGAGGAATAAAATATCTTAGATGGAATAAGGCAAAATCCCTCCGTCCAAAATAGACAGGGTGAATGCAGAAACAAATCGGCAGGACCTTACTTTAACTCTGAGAGCACACTAAATAGATTTATCGCGGGTGAGTTTTCCGAGTTCAAATTGGGTGATCGCGTCATCATATGCTTTGATAATTGGATCGTACAAGCGGTTTGGGTTTTGGGGAGTGCCTACAATAAGACCTTTGTCATTGTAAGGAAAGAGAATGTCTCGTAGGGCCCGACAAAGCGGTACAAGGCCACGAAATTTGGGAGGGAACTCCCTCAAAATGAATCCAAATCCCATGTTTTCAGCTTTGCTCATGTGGCCAAGCTTGGCGTTTGCAATGTCCTCATAGTTACCAGTATACCAGGCACGAAGTTTACTATCCCTAGAATGATTATCCTTCCCCCAGCCATTACGGGCGCACTGCCAGATAAGCACGTAGAAAAACGACTCAAGATCATGCCGATAGGTATGGTCGATATTAAGCAGCACCTCGATCGCCATAAACTCCATCGTGCCGGTCTGGTGTCGCGCCCCACTTCGCCTGCTTCCAACTTCTTTGGCAAGATCCAGATCGATCAGCATGCCCCAGTGACCATCCGCCTTATCTGGATCGGTGATGATTATGTTGTTCTCTGAAATATCCCGATGAAGGATGTTTCCATCCAGGTAAAGAGCCCGGTGTGCTTTTATTGCATCGCGAAGTGCCCTGAGCAGCTCCAGTGGTGATTCGTACCTGTAGATCGGCCGGCCAGCGGGTGAGATCACAAGACACCGGAGGACACGGTTGTCATAGAGTTCCTCACCATTCCTGTCGAAGAGGCTTGGATTGTGTGCTGACTGAATGGAGAAAGCTAGTTCATGCTCCTCCTGAGTGTCCCTTGATGGTTGATTGATGGAACGTGATCGTTTGGACACCTGCAGCCCCTTTTCCGGGGATCTGCGCTTCCTGGAAGATGACTTTCGACGGATATCTAAGCGACAGGGCTCGGTAAGCGGCTGAGATTGATGAAACGATGAGGCCGTGCTGAGGGGTGCGCTTTTGAAGTCATGGCGCTTGTCATCGAAGGTCAGGCCGCAGCGCACGTCGGCGATACTAGTGACGACACCATGGCCAATGATTCTGGCGACCCCCCGGACACTCTTCCGACCCGCCAGCTCGAGGAGTTCCGCCTCTGGCCGCCGCTTGCCCGACACCCACGAGAATTTAGCTACGCCCTCCGCTTGTCCATCGTTTGCAAGAAAACATGTGGTTCCGCGACATACAATGGCACGCTGATAGGAAAGCATTTCACCTAGCCGCACCTTCTTTCCCTCTGAGTTCCCAGGCCCTTTGACAGTTATTGATTTGTTGCCGCCTTCATCCCTAGCAATAAAGGTGTCCAGTCCCAGCTCCTCGTCGCTCATCATGGTGTAGCCCACAAGCACCTGAAAGAACCGCCTCGAGTCCGCGTAGACGTCGATGATGCCTGAGCTGTAGGGGCCTGAACGGTCGAACACCCACGCCTCCATCTTGGTCCCGCAGACGACAAATGCGTGGACGAACCGCCGAGTGGGCTGTGCAGCAAAGACCTCGCGCACGCAGCGGCTGATCTGCAGCAGTGTGGCTTTGGTCCCAATCTCCTCCCTAGGTTTTTTGAGCTCACCAACCACCAGGATGTCTCTCCAGTCGTGTTTGTTTCGCGAGAGGCTCCCACCCTTAGCTCGCAAGAGAAGGTCGACTTGCCGTTCCGCCTTCGAACCGGTAAGATCCGCTTTGCTCACCGTGGTGAAGTAGGTGCCGCGTGATTCCAAGAGAAGGTCTTCTTGAAAACGAAACCACCAGGCGAGGACATCGTCCTGTGTAGGAGGATCAGGAAACTGGGCCCAATTACCATCGCTGTCTGGGTCCAGCACGCGTCGACAGATGGTATCTGCTTTGTCGCTCCAATCCTTCTCCTCAAAGTATTTGTCAAAGAAGCCCTCGACGTCTCGAAATGTGCAGCCACATATCTCCTCGAAGATTCTCGGATTCACCAACTCACGCGTCTGCTCGGAGCCTTTCTGCGATGACGAAGTGGATTTGACTGGGGTGCTGTCAAAAGAAGGGGGAATGCTCGCCGGAGGAGTTGTTCGTTGAGGGATGGTGTCAATGAGGGTAAATACAGCTTTCCAGACATCGAAGTTCCAGGTTTCGGCGTTCTGGGATTCGGTGGGAGGCCTTTGAATAACCAGGTTCACTAGTGGCCGGTAGTCATCGTACTTGAAGTTTTCTTGTGCCTTTCGGAGACGCTCGACTAAGTGTGCTAGATCAGATACCATATCCCCGTTACTCATTCGCGAGCGAAGGCTGTAAGCCGCATCCTCTCCCTGCAAAGCAGAGAGGAGTTTTGAAATCGCATTTTGATAGACTTGGTCAAGGCTATCAACAGCGCCATTGTAGGAAATTAGATGCGACTCATATATTTTTTCAGCTTCCTGAAGCACGCCTTGTAAACGATCGACTGAGTCAGTTAGAGGATGGTTCTTGATAATGTTGCGATCTTCTTGTGAAAGTACCGCCATTTCGATGGTATAAAAGACCGTTGGAGTTTGTGTGAGGTAAGAGTTGTAGGTTGGTATGCTAATTTTGTGTGATGAATGGGAAGCAAACACGAGACAAAATGCAGAATTGTTAGAATGTTATGATGTCTGATTCTTGCGAGAGAAGATAGCTCGCTGGGAACAGATGTAGGTATACATAATCAAAGGGAGGATTATGGTCAAAGGGTTGCTCCGGTTTGACTTTGATGCAGAACGCGAATGTGGGAACGGATAGAGCCGTTGAGCAAGGAACTGGGTGGAGATTAATCTTATTCGATCGCGATGGAATGTATTTTGCAGCCGAGGGGTCCCATTCTGTGATATTATTGGTTCAAACACGTACACACTCACGTGATCTCAGTGTAGAATGGAAGGTTTACCGGGCCTGAAATAAATCTGTTTTACAGAGTATGCAATGCAAAATATTGCATGTTTTGCTGTGTAATCTTTCTCCGCAATATATTAGCACATTAACATTCATGTGCTAAGAAAACATTTTACAGGTCAACCAACCCGTCGTATTGCTCCTGGTATGGGTGCCTCAAAAAAGATGCCTAGGTGCCACAGCAAAGCCCAATATGCAAAGTGCAGCCAGGGGTGCTAGAATGTTTCAAGACGCGGAAATCTTGCGTCGTTCTGTGTCTTAATCATTTGATGTTGCTTGTTCTCTTCGCGTCCGTAGACAGGGTGAAAACATCGCCAAGCAGCGGATAGCATCACGGTCACACATTCTGCTGAATCCCTGCAAGCTTGGGCGGCGAGGCGGTAAATTTTTAATTTGCCACTTGTTAAGTATTTAGTTTACTTCATGCAAGACAAGACACTGTGGGACGTCTAAAGTGGTTGGTTGTATTAGCATGTCGGTAGCTGAGGCATATATGTGCGGTGCGCTAGTCCGTGATAGGCAGCCTAGGGCCAACACCTCCCCTCGGACTAGCAACCGTACAGATATCTATCTATCTAGAAATCCTATTATACATGAAATCAAATCAAATCAAATCAAATGAAATCAAATCTATCTATCCTTCTATCCTTCACCCTTTCGGCATCTGTGAGGCTTCGGTTCGTGGTAGTAGTATCGATGTTCAAGAGGTTCTCTGATAACAGTGGTGGTGGTGGTGGTATTCTTAATGATCAATCTCAGCATAGTGGTTCTTGCAGGGGGTTCTTTGGTGGCTCTCATAGAGGGTTCTTTGGTGGTTCTCGCAGGGGGTTCTTTGATGGTTGGTTCTTCAGGGGGTTCTTCAGTAGATGGAGGAGTAGTGACAGTGACTTGTGTAGCCAGTTTCATCTCATCCTCCCCTTGTTTCATATCCTCTTGATCTCTTGACAGAGAATCAGAGTTTTCAGCTGATTTTTGTAAGGATTTTCCCATCCTTCTGTCCCAATATTCATTCATTCTCTTCAGACATTCATCTTGCTTTTTCAGATATTCATCTTGCTTTTTCAAATATTCCATCATCATCTGTATCAAGGTATCGGTCGTTGGTGTTGGGCCCGGTGGCTCAGTGGTAGGTTCGTATTCATCATTGCTAGCTGGGGTATCCATCCCCATGGTAGCTCGAGTTCTAGGAGGATTTCTTCCCTCTAATCAATCAATTTTTAATCTTTTCCCGCGATCAAAGCTCTTCTAGCCTTCGTCAGGATCCCTTCTGCTGATCAGCGTAGCAGCTCGCGAGACGTTAGATGGCTTAGATAGGCAGTGGAAGGTTCTTAATATATTTATAAAAAAAACAAGCAATCCGGGCTATAACCTGTGGGACGTCTAAGTGGTTGTATTAGCATGCAGGCAGCTGAGGCATATATGTGCGGTGCGCTAGTCCGTGATAGGCAGCCTAGGGCCAACATATTTGAGTCCATCCCTACCCAACCCCATCGCGTAAGCCATGGTGGATTAAAATCGACTTGACCACGCTCGACAGCTATTCGGCCAAACATTTCTTCCTTGGCTTTTTGAATACTTGAGTTTGCTCAGTGAAAGAGCTGGTAGGGGTAACACCTGCTGAGTCAATATAGCCCAGCTGGCTTGACTGGCTGTCGTCCTCTTCCAGTATGGGTACCGATTCGGCATTAGATTGTTGGGAGAAGTTAAGTTCCGACTGCGATATATCAAAATTCACGTCATGCGGGATCTGATCAATCGCTGAACGGATTCTATTTAGATGAGTTAGCAGCCATATGTCATAGACACTTCTTGTGAATTTGTATGCCCATATGGTGAAGCCAAGCAGGTCATATAGATAGAAGAAAGATAGAGGAAAGGTAGCTAGCTAGCTAGTCAGATCTATATCAATCAATTTTTACCCACAATATTTTTCTTCAGCCAATCATCTTGTACAGAGCTCCAATAACTGCCAAGATAACATGCCAAGCAGACCCCCCCATAACTCAGTTATCCAGGGGGGGTTTGGCTGGGGTGGCGTCCGGGATAACCTGGTTATTTGGGGGGGTCATGTTATAACGCCGCTAACGCGCCCCGTGGATAACTAGTGCTCAACACTAACCTCAGATGTTCCACTAGCTTCCATTACAGCAGTCACCCCTTTACTAACAGTTATTCCTTTACTAGCAGTCACCACTTTTCTAGCAGCTCACACAACCGACAGGTCATTACTACATTGCGAGCCTGTTTTAAATCGGTGATATGGATGGATAACAAGTCAAAACCTGTAAGAGCCATGATTTTGGGTCTCAAGGTCATGGCCTGAGAGCATGCAAGCGCCGCAGCAAAACGACCGATCGCTTGAAACAATGATTCGACAGAAGCGTCCTTTTGAAAAGCTCCTTTTGACTCAAGGGCAATGGGATGACATCAGTTGAAGAGACACAGAGAAGAACACCACGAGGTCTACGTTCTGCTTGTGGCTCAAGAGGGATCTATTTTTGGACTCGCAGTCATCTTTTCATGCGATCCATTTTCAGCACCCGTTCATTTTCACCATGCAATTCATTTTGAGCACCCTTCCATTTTGTTCCCCTTCTGAAGATGTATAAATACCATGCGCTTCGCTGTCAAGCGATGCCTACAACTCCTCATACTCACTGATACTCTTTGTCTTGGGATCTTTATTCTTTCTGTCTCTCTTTTTACACCACGCTTCTATTCTCACAACCAAGATGGCCATCCAGCACTTCTGATTTATAGAAGGTAAAAGTGCAAAGAGATCTCACCATCATTTGAAGACAGAACAGCCACAGCTTACCTCTGATGACTATCACACAAGAGATGCCGCTCGAGTGGCTCGGTTCCTGGTCACCGGCAAAAAGTATGCTGATGCCACAACCAAGGCCATCAACTGTGTGCAGAGATTTTGGAATCGGTAAGCCCTGTTGCAATGTGTAGATGATCAAGCTGATGTTGTTTTCCGCAGCTTTTATGCTTTCATGGGGGTGGATAGTAATTCCCATCTCACCGCATGTGCAGGTGAGAACTTTAGACACTATGCTGACTGGCGATTGAGTCAGTTCAATGTCACAAAGCAGAGCACCATCTGAGTGGAGTGGAAATTCCTCTGACTGCTCTACAAGAGAGTCGCTGGAAAGAAGATGGATGAAATCATTGGGGAGCAAGTCAGTGAGATCAGTCCCACCACACCATCCCAGGCCTTCAGTTCCCGTATCTGACTGGCCTCTACCTCCCATGTAGTTTATCCTGGGACCGTTGACGGATGAATACAATCTGGACCTCTCAGTTGAATGCAAGCCCACCCTCAGTATTGAGGATCTGCTGTCCATCCTCCATTACCACTGGTGCTTGGACACGTTGGCGGTCCCACACGAGCGGTATACAGTGCAGCTTCTGCTGTTGATGCTGATGACCGCCTACACATCCTCTCGTCCAGGTGCGCTCATCGAAAGTGGCTGCGTTCAGGGCTCCAACGACACTCTGTGATACCGGGATGTGGTGCTCCGTGTCATCCCCAACCCGGAGGACCTGAAGCGTCACATTCTGGTCATGGAGGTGACTCTGATGTTTATGAAGGGAAAGAGAAACAAGTCTCAGCCGTAGGTCCCCTTCCCGTTCCCTGCTGGTATGGAGTGACACTTCGCTCGGCCGTATGGCTGTATTGACCTCTCGGCGAAGGACAACCTACATATTCCATGAGTGGGATGACAACCCAGCTCTGTGTCCGATCTCACATTTTCTTTCGCTGGCGCTCGCGGATCGAGCCTTTGAGGCACAGGGTATCAACTCGCCGGAGGACATCTTTCATATCGAGGTTCTTCCTTACCGGAACAGCCTACAGCTGAGGTGGAGATCCGAGATGCTCAAGATACCGGCCTTTCACCGCACCGTCCACACCGCACATGGAGTGCGTATCTCTCCCGACCGTGCGTTACCGTATGATGCGTTCAATCAGTACCTTCAGCGGCTGGGTCGCAACGCGGGACTCGAAGAGCCGCTGACTCCTTACTGCATCAGAAGAGGCACAGCAAATGCGGTGGATGGTAAGCAGCTGCAGTGGAGTCTCCATATTCATGGTTGCCATGTGCTAACTGGAGAGTAGATGTCGCAACGGCAGCGGAGCGGAACCAGGTGCTGGGCCATTCCCGGGCTGACATCTTTGAACGCTATTACCTCTCGCAGAAGGTGAAACGCGATGTGCAGTCCGCGTATCTTGGATGTCCAGCCCGCGAGTCGGTCATCCGCGCCGTCGGAATGATGAGCTTGACGCGGGACCCGAGGGTCCCAAAGGAACTGACCGACGAGCAGAAGGCCGCCATCGAATATGACCCCCATCTTGCCGAACTCAACCGCCAGAAGCAGGACCTGGTAAGTGATATGAGATACCAATACGGATCGGTCCCGAAGGCCCAGGGCACAGACCTCCACGCCCAGCATAGCAAGCTTGAAAGAACTATTCAAAGTGAGAGGCGATTCTTGAGGAAACGTGCACGGGACAACATCCGGGAGGACTTTTTTGCCAAGATCGACACCATCGAGATAGAGCGTCAGCTTCTGGGACTGTCGCTCGCCGATGATCTCAAGGTGGAAGATTCCGTCACTCAGTTTACCTGTGTCGAACGAGCTCTACTTGCACGCAGTCTCTTTACATCTCTCTGTAGCTCTGCGGAGGAGCATAAGCCTCACTGTTATCGGATGCAGGTAATCCGTGACTGGACCGCGCTCTGTAGCCTGCAGGGGGTCCCTTACAAGCAGAAGGCCTCACCTTGCGAATTCGTAACCTTGAAAGAGGAGCTCAGCATAAACGCTGATAAGCCCCCTATCGTCTGTCCGGCGACCCAGTGCCTATTTTGTCTTGGGAACGAACAGCGGGCATCGAATTCAAGGCCGTATTCATTCTCACGTCCAGATAAACTACGGAGGCATGTGTATGATTGCCATCTCCGCTATCTTGCCTCAGATGCTTGTTTTCCATGTCCCCATCCCGCCTGCTCAGAGAGTCTGTGGGGTATCACACATTTCAAGGACCATGCTGCTTTGATACATAAAATATACCTTTGAGCTGTGTGCAACGTTACCTGTAGCTTCCTTTAGTGGAGTAGCTGTGGCAGCCAAAAGACACCGCGAGGTAAGGCGTGGATAGAACCGCATATAATAGATAGACTATCCCAAATAGAAGGCCTGCAGCAGAGATGATTTTTTTGCCATATTAGGTAACTTTACATAGACTAAAGATCGTGATCGTCCTCCGGTATAACATTGGAGGTACGGAAAATGCAGTACGGATTATGCCTCTTTAAAATCCTTGAAAGACAATCCAACAATACAACTTGAAATCAAATAAGGTTGAAAAATGGGCGTGAAATGAAGAGATGACTAAAGAATACGGCCTGGCGTGATTAGTAACAATTAGGTTGCGAAATAACGTAATCAATAACCTTCCCGATCAAATACCCTTCCCGATCACTTCTTCACTCTTTTTCATGTTTATAACTAAATAGAACAACAATCACATAAGAAAAATAGATTAATCATATTAAGAATCATTTACAAATCAGCTTTCACACGTACGAGCAGTATGTCCAATAGTACCACATATACTGCACCGTGGTGCTGCTCGTTTTCGTGGTTGAGAGTCAGAAACCTCAACCTTCTCATTTTCCTGTTCATTGACACTTCGTACGCGATCTATTCCTTCTTCAACTCTTAAAACCCCTTCCTGAGCTATATATGTACGACCTTTCCCTCGCTTTCTCTTTTGCTTCTCATTTGCAGCTCTTAGTTCCTTGTTTTCCTTTGCTAAAATAGCAGCACTACACATAGCCATTTGACACCCCTTGATCAGCTGATTCATAGCTCGATTGGTTGGACTGGATGAACCCTGTGTACGATGTTGCATGTATCCTTTAATCTTCTTGGCCTGGAGATCCACTTGTCGTACATTGTGTGGTGTGGCTGTGGCCCAGGAGGCTTGAGAACTATGAGAAGTTCCTGGGGGGGTGGGTGTATGCATCTGGGTATTAAGGCGTGAGAGAACCTGCTCTGGATCGTACGGAACTAACCCTGTAGCTTTAAAACCACTTTTGATGTTGTTCTCATTCAGGGCTTCCATATGAGCTGCTGGATAGAGAGTCAAAAACTCTTCCTTATCAATGTGATTGATGCCAAGCTGCATTTGCTTCTCCACCTGTCGTCTGTATGCCTTCTTTAGAGGAGAGAAACAGCTAACATCCAAGGGCTGAAGAAGATGAGATGAATGAGATGGCATGTAGAGAGCAATGATGTCATTCTCAGAGCAGAATTGATCAAACTCTGCTGAAGCATGACTTCCATGTCCATCAAGGATCAAGAGTCGATATTTGCCCTTCGTACGAGATCGAGTGTCCTTGTCAAATATCTCCTTAAGCCAGATCAACCCCAGCTTATCATTTGTCCATCCATTCTCACTGACTCCAATCACCCAGTCATGTGGCAGCTTCTCAGTCTCATACCAATGGGATTGGTGCATCTTTCCCTTTAGAATAATCATCGTACGTAAAGCCCAACCAGTTGCATTAACTCCTGCAATAACAGTGGCCCATTCCCGATCTCCAGGCTGTATAAGATTCGGACGATCAACTCTCTCAGATCCAGTAATTACTCTGGCTGTCCCAATAACTCCCATCTGAAATCCAGTCTCATCAAAGTTGTATGTATCTTCCTGTGCAATCCCATACTTTGCAATGGTGTTTCGTACGAGATTAAACCATCCACGAATAATCTCAGGATTCTCACATAGAGCTCGCTGGTGATCATACTTTCGAGAGAATGTTGATTTTAACTCCTCATGACGATTAACAAAGTTTCGTACCCAGCATTCACCCACTGTTGGAGGGGGTTTGGATTCAGACTTGATTTCTCGTTCAGAAAGAAGCAAATTGGCCATATTTCGTACGGTTGTGATGCGGGGTGACTGGCCTCGCTCAGTCATGGATAGAATCCACTGAATAAGAGATGCTTCCTCTGTAAGACTGAGTTTTCGGTTTTTTAACTGAGAATCTTTTCGTGTTGTGCGGCCGTGTAATCGATCATATAAACTTGAATAAGGAACTTCGTACGCGCGTGCAGCAGCTCGAATACCTGAGATTTGACCTTTATCTAGAGCCTTAATAGCTAATAGAATCCTGCCTTCTTGATAGAAGTTTCTTCTGTCACTTGTTGTTGACATTTTGATGAATAAATTGTATGATGTGTCTTAAAGTGAAGAAGTGATCGGGAAGGGTATTTGATCGGGAAGGTTATTGATTACGTTACTCCTAACTAGTTAGTCCTTGTTCTAACTTTAACTTTTCCGAGAAAAGTTATGTCGAAAACGGTCCATCCAAGAATCCATTCGGAAGTCATCCATAGCAAAAAGCTGACTCTAGCCGTCCTATTGTGAAGTGTCTCCAAGAGGGACATCTCCCTGCCGTTCTTCGTTACCCCGCTCCCCGCTTCCTATATCGACCGAAACCATGAACGCCTCTGAACAGCATACACGCGATGGCCATCCCCGCCGGTTGTCTGATACTTACGTTATACGAAAGTTCGCGAGCGCAGATGATGATGATTACGATGACACATGCTACATATGCTTTGAAGGTTGGAAAGCTGGTGATGAAATGGTCAGGCTTTGATGTTGTAACCACTGGCTGCACGACGATTGCCTGTCAGTGTCCACACTGGACGGCCTGTGCCCCACTTGCCGGATTGATCTCACTTCATTCAATGATGAGATAGTCCTCATAAATGCAGCTGATGCGGGTGATGTCCAGAAAGTGAAAGAGCAGTTGGATAAGAACATCAATTGTTCAGCACAAAACTTTCTAGGTAGGACTGCGTTGCATTCGGCAGCTCTACGCAATCACAAGGCTGTGGCGGAGATATTATTGGACTGTGGAGCGGACGCATCCATCGTCGACTACAAAAAGCAAGCTCCATTGCATATAGCCTCTAGCAGCTTCTCTCTCGGGATTGCTATTCTTCTGGTGGAAAGAGGGGCCGATATAAGTGCTCGAGATGGCGGAGGAATGACGCCACTTCATCTCGCATATCAATGTGGCACGCTGGACACGATCCGATATCTACTTGAGAAGGGAGCCGATCCAAATGCCAAAGATGTTTATGGCTTTACTCCGGAGATGCTTCGTCCTGATGTTGTTGAATACTTGACCAATGCGCCAATCATTCAAGCATTTGAAAGGGCTATTGATGATATTAAAGCTACAGAAGCATAGTTCTACCGGGTTAGTTGGTTGATTCTTGACATCAAGGTGTTAGAGCCCTTAATATTTTGGTAGCACACTCTCTGTTCCTAGGTATGCTTTAGGCCCTGGGCCAGTGCCCTAGTTGCAGCACACTTCTCTTCCTGGTTTGTTAGGAGCTCATTTAATGTATATAGAACCAGGTTCCAAATCCATCCATAGGTTGCGGTCAATTCTCCATAAAATTCTCCATGCTCACGACTAGCCATTAGATTTGCCAGCTCCATCATCGGTTTAATGTTCGGAGCTTCCAAGCGCATTGTAAACTGCCGATCACTAGTGTTCATTCATGATGTTCGAACCGCAAGAGAAAGAGATGGTCGTTGAAATTGTTTTTTTACTCAGGAAAGTGGACTTCATGGGCGGCACGCCCTGGTGGCATGTGGATTATCAAATAGCTGGCTCGAGTTTCCCAGGCCGCCAGCGGCAAATGCCTTGGGGGCGACAAACTATCAATTATTATGATTTGCGCGTGTTACCACAGGCATTTCAACGCCAGAGGCATAATCAATTAAGGAGAGTCTTGCAGTACATTACGACAATTAACAATCAATAAAAAAAATGCTACCGCTACTACTGAGCGTCATCGCTGGATGAAAAGCTTCGCCTCGCCAAGTCTGACGCCGAACATGAACGCAGGGTGTCATTGTCGTCAATCATATAAACTATCATCAAATCCCAGTCTGCTGTTGCAAGGAATGTCGTACCCATTCGCCTTTAGAGCCGTTCGAATGTGACCTGCTGAGAGCGGCTTTCTATCCCATGTAGCAAGACTGTGTGCCAGCTTGATCATGTTTTTGATCTGGATCTCTCTGGTAAGCAGGGGTGATTTCAAAATTGCACTTGGTACTCACCTGTCGGCCATTGAGCTTGGTTTCCGCAAATATGTTCAGATCATCCTCGTCGATCTCGGCGTCTGCTGCCTTCAGGAAGTTAAGAAGGATGCTTTTCCTTGCTGCAGGCTTCAGATTGTCATATTGCAACTTAAGATGAACTCAGTCCAAGATTGCATCGTCAAAGTCGCCCACCAGGTTGGTCGTGAGAAAGAAGATCCCATCATAATATTCGAGCTTACAGAGAAATATGGACACCAGGCGGTTCCGCTCCAGCTGGACAGGACAGTGTTTCTGCACAAACACATCCACTTCATCAAGCAAGAGAATCGCATTCCAGAAGCTGGCGATTCGAAAGATTCGAGTGAGCTGTTCTTCCAACACCGCAGCTTCCGAGCTCAACTCTCCCGCAGAAATCTGTCAGAAGGATGTTAGTGTACACAACAGGGAAACCGGTTCGGACTGCCATACTGAATAGAGTGGCCGTTCTTGACGTTCGGCGATTGCTTCCGCGGTCAGCGTCTTTCCGACACCAGGATGGCCACTGTCTCACTTTTTAGCATGTTAAAAAAACCGCGGATATAGGTGGTGGAAATAGGACCATACTGCAACAGGAAGATGACACCTAGGCCCTTCCCTATGATAATATCATTGAGCGCAGGCCTCCCTGTCCGATCTACACGACTTTCCGCAAGGGCGATGGCGACCTGTTTCTTTTCCTCGTCGATGACGAGCGAGTCGAAGGGCAACGGCGAGAACTCAATGTCGCTGATATCGGCCACAGCAAACTCCGCTGAAGTACTGCTGTCAGTTGGACTCTAGGATCTTGCATGGTGCTGTGACTTACCCCAGAGTTTATTGAAAAGAGAAAACCCAAGCAAGGTGGGACTGCAGATGAGTAAGTTGTCTTCCTCCATCTCAGTTGGATTCATCCCGTTACTCCTGACTCGAGAAACTGATTTGTTTTTGGTCGCCCCGCTCCACGGATCAAAAACCTCCGGTTTCATGGTCTGCAGCCTTGGATAGTTGGGGTTCACGTTGCGGAAACAAGGGGCGTCAATCATGATCCTTCCGTTGACGGGAACTCGGATCAGGTCGTTCTTTTGTTGAAAGAAAGCGGTCCCGTCGTATTGGCAATAGTGAGAACCCAGCATAGAAACGAACGTTCGACCGGATGCGATAAGACGCTCCCTGATATTATCTTCAGGGTGGTATACAAGAGGAAAGGCAGGTAGGTTCTCAATTCGTTTCACTCCATGGAATTTATTGATGGCCAAAGCCTCAACAGCCTCGCCGAATACTTTCCCGTCAAAGTCGAAATAGCGGCTTTGGAGCTCAAAATACTCCTCCCCCTGTGGTGTCGTCTTTTCCCCTCCAAAGCTGTATGCGACGCACCTCGGCTTACCGGTGCCGCGGCAGGTCGTGTATACCGGCATATTCGGTCTGAACAAGGCCCAGAGCAGGTCATAGGTGATCTTCCTGCGGCTGAGGAGGGAACAAAGGCGCTCAGCAGTAGACTTGTATGCTTCCTGAAGGTGTAGAATTAACAGGTCGAGATGCTTCAGTGATTCGGGGGTAGCTGTTTCTTCATCTGTTACGGACTCCCGGTAGGCTTCCAGCTCAGGAAGGAAGTGGTACAGCACATTCCGCTCGACCTATGCTCTTGTGAGAAAGGATATTAACAGGTTGGATGGGGTGTATTACCACAGGCTTATCTTCATCCAGGCTGGCCGTTCTGACTTCTCGTAGCACGGTCCTGATGATATCACGCAACCCGACTGACTTGATATCAACATACACGGTGGGTTCCCGGGTCTTCCGATCTTTTCGCAATGTCAACTGCGTTCGCTTAGAGCAACACTGCACTTACCGATGCGTGTGCGAACAACAATTACATATTCATCCAAATCGCTGACGTCTGGGCTTCGTGGAGAGTCAACGATCTTGTAGGCATATGCCTTGTCACTCCAACTGCATAACATTAGCATCGCCCAAAAGGCCGGATAGGGCAGGAAGCATACACTTCACGGATAGCCTTGCACTCCAGTTTTGATGCCCGGATCTTAATGTCTTCTTTTTCACCGTTCTCTGGCTTATCAGGGCCGCACACTATACCCTCCGAGCTCGACGGGGTTCGCCCCTCAAGGACGGCTTCGAATAGCTCCTTCAATCCATCTCTTGTGACATATAGAGAAGAGGCGGGATATGGGAACTTCCCATTCTGCTGCATTGCTGGATGACCGTGGTAGGACAGTTTCACACCTTCAAGGGAAGGGCTGTCTGGAGGTGTTTGGGCAGTAAGAAAGGGGGAAGGGGCAGGGGTTTTAGACATTGTGATGGGTAAAGTTGCGATAAGGGAAGCAGAGTGAACTATGTACAGCAATTGGGATGAGGAATTGTGCTTACAGAGTTCGAATTTCGTGAGCTGTTCATTGCCTCAGGATTGGAGGGCATATAGCCTCCTTATATGCTGTTGTATTGGACCCCGCACACCCCCCATCCATCCATCAGTCGTATCGAACCGTCTCTGTGCATACCCATACGCAGGATACGTTGTCCATACCGACCCAGACCATGCGAGGCACCTTGCGCTATGCGCTCTAGATATCCACGTTTGACCTGGTGTTATTACCTTCATTGCGAATCGTCAAAGCGCGAAAAAGGATTTCGCGAGACCTTGATGCAGGATGCTATCAGTCCGTTTGGGGGTCCGATTGGTAGACAGCTCAGGAAAAGAAACCTAGATGCCAGGTTTGTTGTCCCTGAACCCTAAGTTGAAGACAGTCGAGGGAGAATCTTGTCGTAGCTTGCAGCTGTACATAGTAACCTGTGCATAGTAAAACTACATCAAAAAAGAAAGAAACCCTTTGCCGAAATCTAGTGGCCACTAGACAGTAGCAGAAGGTATGGAAGTTATGGGAGCTGCGGGGAAAACAGGAAAAACTGGGAAAAAAGGTAAAAGGGAGAAAAGGGGAAAAAGGGAAAAAGGGGACTAGTGGGACTAACAGCACCATAAATATTCTCTGCCATTTCTCTCATTTATCCTACCATATCTTCCAATCTTCCTGTTCGCTATTCATAGATATCATGCCGCCGAATACGTCAAACGAAGATCCTCTCATAAAATCGTCTGAAGGGAGAGAGCAAAATACGACCATGGCAATCATGAGCCAACTAAGAGTCAACTTAAAAAATTTCAGTTTTCTTTGCAAACCTGGTCATGGAAGATTCCACCTCCTTGAAGCGGCGAACCAACCACCAACACGCCAACACACGATTAGACGCTCGCGAAAATC